AAGATAGGATCAATGCGCAGTCTATACCTATTGATGTCTATGAGTGCTGTTTAAGATTTGTTTGTACAATGGCTTAACCTATCAGTATTCACATCTGTTAACTTCCCTTTTTTTTTTTTAGTAAAGATAAGAAAAGGAAGGTAAAAAGCGTGAATGTTGATGTACGTCAAGCTAGTGTCCAGAATTACAAACCTTGAACAACACTGACGTATTATAATCTAAATATATTATACATTATTTCTTACGTGTGCAAATATATCCAGTGGCAGGATATGTCGATAGCCATGCTCACTTGAAACCAGAAGGTATAGGGTACGTAGAATTGGCACAACGTAGCCATGAGACACATCGTGCCGATTCTATCCGTCAGCTGATCCAAGATTGCACCAAACTTGGTGCTCTGGTTGTAATACCTGGCCGCATGGCCATCTATCGCATCCAGCAACGAGCTAACCACATAACACCATGATGCAATGACGTAGTTGGTGGACATAAAGTAGAAGGAAATCAATGCCAGAATCACTCTGCCGAAACCTGTTGAAATGCATAATTATATTTTCTGCTGTTATCATGTTTGGCACGTAAACATGATTTTAACTACTGTTTTATCATTATAATCAATCGGAAAATAATTCAAAATTTATGCTTCTAGATGCTGAAAATAGAAATTGCTTTGAAAGAATTACAAGGGAAATTTATTATTGACTGGCCGGTATAAACGTTACATAAAACAATAGTGGCGTTGACTCAATCAATAAAGGCAACCTTAAAAACGTCGTACGGCCGCATGATTTGTAGTCTCATACGATCGTCTCATCGACTGAATTACTTGGAATTACGCGGAACGATTCGTCGAGGGAAAATCCGATTTTCTAGCCACCTGAGTCTCATTCAATTGAATCTTGGCGGGCATCGATACCTGCCCCAGTCTTACTGCGTATTACATACAAATACAAAAATGGTTCCACACGACGCACTCGTCGGTGTGATTATCTCACAAGGAAAATATATCGAGATTAGGTATTTACCGATGATATTGGGCACGAAGAGAAAGATATTCTCCGTCTTGGTCATTTCGGTGTACTCCAGCGTAGACTCTCCTCGCGGGAATATCTATCTACGAGATAATGACTTATCTAGAACTGCCGGCTCGTGTCAGGGATTATCTCGATGCCGACTCGCGTATCTGCAAACACTTCACTCGGACTGTGACAGATCGTGAATGCACGGACGATTTTCTCTCTCTGTCTCCGTATCGTGAGCCTCGCGTCGCGTCGTCCGGATGCAGCTGGCACTGCTGGCAGCCGACAGCAACGGGAACAAAGTGTCGGCATCGAGCGGTATCGTATTCGCGCGACTTCGAGATGTATCGACCTGCGGTGACGCGTACTGCACCGGCCGTGATCATTTAGTCCATGGCCGTGACTAACCCTGCACGCGCCACGCGCACTTTTGCCTGTATTCGACTTGAGGTTTGTTTTTTATTGCCGCATTGTGGACTAGAATTTACCTCCTTGCTTTTGCCAAATGTATAATCAAACGTATACCTATTTCAATTTAAAGAATATGTTATATATTAAAGCTATAAAAAACAAACTTTTAATATTTGAAAAAACGCAAGTCATATCATTGCCCTGCATTCTCTATACTTGGAGTGATTCTACAAAATGATTAAGTTATCGAGTAATTTAATAATATGAATCACCTCCTTGCTTTTGCCAAATACATATCAAATGTATACCTATTTCACTTTAATTAGTGTATGTTATATATGTATGGTATAAACAGACCTTTAATATTTGAAAAACGCAAGTCATATCATTGTATTCTCTATACTTGGAGTGATTCAACAAAATGATTAAATTTATATCAAGTACTTTAATAATATGGGTATATAAATAATTTATATAACGTCAAGTTTTAATTAATTAGTTGAATTAATAAAATATAGAATATATAAATGATAAGAATTAATATAATTTCTTATATTATTTAACATGGAAAGAGATTAAAGAATGACGAATTAAATAGATAGTAATTTTGCTGAAACAATTCTGCAAGTTAATCATTGATTAAATTGATTGGTATTCAATATTATACTGTATAAAATTCTAAATTTTTCAAACTCTTCTATATAGTTCTTATGTCTATTTCTACCAATGTAATTAACTTTAATGCCGTTTAATTAATTTGTCTTTTTCTAATTTTTAGAAAATTTTTATAAAATGATAATTAGTAGAACTGCGTTTAATGTCAGTTTTTATCAATGTAGATTAATCTCTTAACTTTAATCTCAGTTCAATTTCCTCTTCATTTTTTTCTAATTCTTAGAACAAGGATTAAGATTTAATTAAATATCGAGGTTAAAGTTGAACATTGCACTGTTAAAAATGCTTCCTTTACATGTATATGAAGCTCGTGGTTGAACGAAATTAAAGTAGTAATGAATGATTTAACTGAAAATTCAATTACAGTGTACAGTTTTTTAAATTTATTAAAAGTATATTGAATTTCATGAAATTTTTAACAGTGCAGTAAAAATTGACAAAAAGAATAATAAGAAATTATTCCGTTTCCTTGTAAAGTAACTAGGTATTAATTAGGTAGCATCCGGGGCGCTGCATGAGGCGGGCACGCGGCTGCACGCCAGACGACATTTTCGGAGGCCAGAGCGGCTGGTCCGCCGTCGTTCCTCTGCGCAAAAGCGGGGATTTCGCTTGTTACAGCGTGTCGCGACGGGAAAGTGTAAAGTCTGTCGTAAAGCGACGGTTCGCCCTCGGCTTTCCCCGGTGATAATCGTTCGCGCGCGTGCGGACGGCGTCGCTCGGCGGGAGGATGTCCGTAAGCTCCCTCAGGGTGGACCTGTCTCGCCCTCGGATCGGCTCCGCGCGTCACCGTGCGTTTCTCGCGGTTCGTAAAATCGTAGCTCCGCGATCGTAGTTCTGCGACGGCCGTGAATCTCATTGACAAACATTCGTCGTGGTTACCGCGCGCGTCGTCGTCGTCGTCGTCGTCATCATTCGATTCGTCGTCAGCCGATCCTTCGTTTCGCGTCTCGCTCGAAGACTTGGCGGAGAAGCCAGTCGCCTCCCTCCCCTCCCCAGGAAATGGCAATGTCGCGCGATCGATAACCCGGGGCGCCCGATCTCGGGGAGACCCAGTTGACGCGATCAGTTGGCGCACCGTCGCTCCGCACGGAATTAAATCGACTCTCTACCCGTGTATTCTCCCTCGATTCGCGCGAGGATCCCGTCTGCGATCCGCTCCGAGAAAGAGAGCGAGCTAACGGTATCTACTATGCCGACGGTATCCGCGAATTGAGACCGTCCGTCGTGTCGCGCTGACGAATCGCGAATCGCGACGTCGCGCGCCGGGCCGGGGCGGCGATGACGAATTCGCTCGCGGAGCCTCTCGGAGCTCTCGGTCGAACGCCGGATACGGCAGGTACGCGTGGCCGAAGGAAATAGGCCCTGCGAGGAAATAGCCGCGACGCGCGCGAGAATCGAGAGATTCGCGCGTGTGCAGTTGTGCACCAGTGTGTCCGTTCCGTGTGTATATGTGGCTGTGACGAGGGAGCGACGCGCCTGGTGTGCGTAAGCGGTTTCTCCGCGAGACATCCTTCCTGCGAATGGACTCTTTCTCACGCCGTTCCGTCGCGCACGTATGTGCGCGCGGACGGACGAAGCGAAACGCGTGCGTGGTGCGTGCGTGTATTCGCGTTGCCCCTGCGCAGCGGCGGCGGCCATTTTGAATCGATGAGTGCTCGCCGCGGCGGCGATTATCAACATTGCCGCGTCGTAACGCCAAAATTGGACGGTTCTCCGTGTCGCGCCGTGTCGCCGTTCCTCGACGACGCCGCGCCTATCCACGACTCTCCACGTCGTTCGAGAAGCTTCGCCGGGTCTCCGTGTCCGCGCGACGACACGCCGTCACTCTGTCACCGTCGTCGTTGTCGTCGTCGTCGTGGTCGACGTTGTATTTAGAAATGGTACTGTCCAGCCGGGCTTTCTACTTTCGAGAGGAAACGCCGACGAGCGCGGCAGCGACACCGAATGGGCCCCGACCGTCCTCGAAAAATCTATACTTTTGAGAAGCTGGACCCCCTCGTCGCTCGACGTTGCCAGAAGAAAAAGTGTGTGGAGGACGAGGAGGTGGTGAGCGATAAGAGGAGGAAGAGGAGGAGGAGGAGGAGGAGGCGAGAAACTGCACGCGGTCGAATCCACCCGTTGGCGACGCGTCGATCGTTCAAATTTGACATGTGACCGCCAGAGCAGTGTCGCGTTTACGTAAGTTGTCTCCCGAACGGACGCTTCGCAAAAGAATCGCTGATTCTGAGTGTGCGGTGTAAGGATTTTCCTTTCTCGCACTCACCTTCGGCTTCAACGACGAGGAAGGAAAACAAAATCGCCGAACGCCGTTCCGCCAGCTCGCCGTACGCGATCGATGACGTCGCGCGACGGACAGCTGTGTCGCCGCGCCAGTTGACAGTTCGCTCGACTCGGGGCTAACCTCAAATTCGCGCGAGGTTGCCCGTCGTACGACGCGTCCTCGACGTCGGGCGCATCTATCGACGAGGAGTGTCGTCCGGCCTCCCGGACGGAAAAAGCGATACGAGACTCCGCGAGGAATCTCGCGCAGTTGGATTCTCCAGGAGGATCAATCGCCGCGAGGAAGATCGCCACCGGGGCCATCTTTCTCCGTCGGGTGCGCGCGCGGGTGCGGAATCGAGTGCGAGGATCTCGCGGAAACTCCGCACCGCGTTGCACCGAGGAATCGTGCGCGCGTGTTTAATCCCGGAGTAGCTCCGGAGTAGCTCATCTTTGATCGAAGTTCCTTTCTGGATCTCGATTGTTTCCCGATCAAGGACCTCTCTCTCTCTCTGTCTCTCTCTCTCTGTCTCTCTTTCTCTTGCCTTTTTCTCTAGTCTGAATACTTCTTAGAAAATCATGACTCTTTCCAACTGAATCCAAAATTGACGGTTTGTTCTTATTTCGGTCAACACTTGGATTAACTGGTCCTTTTCTAAGTCGCGGTTGTCTCTCGATTGATCCAAGAAGGTACAAGGAGAAGGAAAGCGCTGAATAAATTCGATTAAACTATTAGAAAACTTAGCGATCTGCGTAAACATTAGTAAAACCAATCCTTGGATTCGACCTCGACGTCGTCGTCTAAGCGTGCTTTGCGCTCGTCTAACCGCGAGAATATAGCGTCTTCAATGCGGTACGGATCGTTGATCGGTACGCAAACAGTCCTTTCGCGGCTTCGTGACCCTTGAAGGATAAAGAGAAAAGAGGAGAGAGATGACGAGGGAGCCATGAGCACGGCGGACACCGCGCTGTCAATCTCGATCAAGATGGCCCCAGGGCCGGAACATCGTCAGGAACCGGTAGCTCCTGACAAAATCGCTGAAAGCGACCGTGCCGCCGACGCCGCCGTCGCTGCCGTCGCTGCCACCGCTGCTGCCGATGTAGTTATCGATATAGAGAACGTCAACGCCGTATCGACGTCCGGTAGCAGCAACAGCAACAATAATAACGACGACGACAATAATAACGTCGTCGTTGCCGCCGTCGCCGTCATCGCTGCAGAGCAAAGTTCGAACATCGAGATTGCTCCAGCTAATTTTGCCGCTGGCGCCGCCGATTCGATCAGCCAAAGCTCACCGCCGAACAGCGGCGCCGACAGCAAACAGGTGAGCATCGCAGCGGCGACCGCGTCGAGGAAACGTCGACCCTTCCTCCTTTCTTCGATCCTTAACAGGCTTTCTACAATAAGCCATAAGAAATTGATCAATCAGAAGTCGGTTATTCTTCTCACATTCGATTATGATTGTTCAATTTCTTATGACTTAAGCTTCAAACTTCAAACTTGGGTAATGACTTATTGTAGAAAGTCTTTAAGGAGCACAGACCTTTGCGTAACGCATAATGCATAAAGCGTAAGGAAATCAACCAATAAAAGTCTTTTATTTCATGGAAAGGAAAAAAAATGAAGGACTTTGATTCGTTCGTTTTCTAAGAGGATTTTTATAATATGCCATTATATATAGGCTTTCTACAATAAGACATTAAAGAAGCTTCAAGTCTTAAGTCGTAAGAAATTGACCAATCACAGCCCACAAATGTGAAAAGAATAATCGACTATGATTGGTCAATTTCTTACAGTTTAACTCTTAAAGCTTGAATAATAGCTTATTGTAGAAAACCCGTTAGTAATCAATCAAAAGTCAGAAGCTGGAAATTGACCAATCACAATTGAATATGAGAAGAATACTCGACTATGATTGGTCAATTTCTAACTTCTGACTTCTGATTTATTACTAATAGCTTATTGTAGAAAGCCTCTTATGCGTTCTGCGTTATGCAAGATAATGACAAATGCAACAAGCACATAGGATGAACTTTAAAATTGTGGTATTGAAGGTCTGAGATATATCACCTTTCACCATTTGCACCAGCATAATGATATGAAGATGGAAACATTAAAAGAGAAAATTTTTATTATGAAGAAAATAGGAAAATTTTTCATGTTTTTCGTGTTTTCACTCTAGAGTTATATGATTGCCAGCTTCGGAGTCAATCACGTCACAAAACAATTTTTTCCCTAACGTGGAACTGTAAAAAACGAAAATTTTTATGAATGTATGTATATAGATATACATATGAAAAATTTTCACTTTTCACGTTTCCGCTTGAGAGACGAAAGTTACACGATTAACTATGATCTCACTAGAAAGGCATTTACGTTGTTTCGGAATAAAATTCGTCATGAGAAAACAATGTATTGATTATACTCGATCATTCGCTGCTCCAATTTCTCTTTTTCTTCTCATTTTTAAATATGAAAGAATTGAATGTGATCTATATATATATGAGTTCTGATGAAACTATTAGGCATTTGATTTGTGAAGTTCTGATGGTGATATTGGATTACAATTTTCTCTCTGGAAAACGATCTATTTCCTTTTGTGTTCATCGATGTTAATAATTATTTACTTATACCTATTTGATCAATTGGATTTTGTTGCTAGCATATTCTTTTCGTTCTTCTAAAATAGAATACCGGGAAAGAGAATACTAATATCGTAATACGATAGGAACGAATTTATTTTAAAATAATACGCAAAGATATCTCACACGCTATATTTATCTCCTCTTATTTTAACGTGCGTCCTTTCCGAAATCCGCAAAATTCCGACGGAAGGTTAGAGGTCATCTATGTTTTCTGATTTTGTTAAGGTTAATGCACAATTGAATTAAGGTTAAAGCGCAGGAAACAAGAATAGAAAATAACAGATATAGGTATACTTTAATCAAAATCAGAAATCGTGTATACTATGCTTTTTATTATGCGTTAGGCTTAAAACTTATCGCACGAAAAATGACATAATTTGCATAAACATAAAATAAAAACCGAAAAGATCTTTATATATAACGTATATCAGCAAATCAACCAATCAGTCTTCTATTTCATGTAAAGGAAGGAAATAAAAAAAAAAATATATATATATATATCGATTGATTCATTTTTATGCATTATGCAATATATAAATTATGCAAAACTCTGTGTTCCTGCCTTAAAGCCGTTGGATTAATGAGCATCTCATGTGAATCAATATGATGCTTTTATGCTGGATGCTCATTGGTCGATCGACTTTGTGCTATGCTCATGAAATCTTTAAATTTGAAGTGAAATCTCACTCCAAAAGAGTGAAAATACTGCCACTATTGAAAAAGAGTGAAAATATTTGCACTCTTTTGAAATGAGAGCCACTCCAAAAGAAATCGCTGCACTCCTTTTTTGGAGCGAATCTCATTACAAAAGTGTGAAATCTTACTTCAAAAACTCTTTACTCTTTTTCAATGGCAGTAAGTTTAACTCTTTTGAAGTGAAATTTTATTCCAAGAAATTTAGAGAACAGCTTATGTCATTTTATGTATTAGAAGTTTTCTGCAAGCGGGATAATTTGAAAATGTTGAAATAGTTGTATAAAAAATTGAGGTCACCGTAGTGTATTCAATTAAACATGCAAAATGTACCCTATTAATGCGATAGAATATATTTTATATGTTAACATTTCTGATAATCCAAATTATCCCGCTTTATCCGAAGCCATTAGTGATAAATCAAAAGCTAGAAATTGTCAAGTCATAGTCGAGTATTCTTCTCATATTCGACTGTGATTGGTCAATTTCTAGCTTCTGACTTCTGATTTATTACTGATGGATCATTGAAAAAGCCTCTAATAGATTAAAAAAGAAATAAATAACCTTATAACAGATTTCAACCTATTAGAAACGGTGTAGATTGTAGATAGATACATCATAATACACGGTTTCTGATAGATTTCAATTATTTTCTATTCTTGTTGCTTTTCGATTGAGCATTTTAACTGTAGAGAAACTCAATAAAAACACACACCTCCTTTATTGCGATTTAAGGACACAATTCTGAAAGTTAGTTACGCTCCTGAAATGGCCGTGTCGGCCCTCAATAGAGCGAGGACACATCCGCGCAAATACGTTCTCAATACCCCTTTTCGGTGTTTGATTAGCTCGCGCAATTCCTTTCAGGCAATTAGGCAACTCAATCGCAAGCTCAAGCACCGCTTCGATTCTTGATTTACGTGTATTGCGTAATAAGAATTGGGGATCGGAGCGATTGTGCTGAATTTATACGAAATCGATATAATGACCGGGCAATGGATTGTGGCCGAATTATACTAGGATAGCAACGAAGAAATTAATATTACCGTTTTGTAAATAGTACATCAATATGCAATTAGCATATATCGAGTGTAAATATTTATTTCCGTTAAATGTTAGCTCTCTGCGTTTTATTTATGACTAATAAAATGTCGGAAAGAAGCTTTGTCATGTTCTCCGCGAGATCACTCATCTTTTTGATGAGTAATTATAACCTCGTTATATGTACTTTGTTTCTATTACCATCTCTTACTTTTATTTTTTTATCGTTTGCTGTTCATCTTTTTGCTTATCATTTCATTAAAAAATAGATAAGGGTCAAGTCGCTCGATCATTACGCGATGCGGCAATTAAATCATTTTTCATTTTCCTAAAATTACGTAATTATGATTTGATAACTTCACGCTTTTTTTGTAGAAGATCCTGATTTTGGATCACTCCGATCAATGAATGAAGCTTTAATTGAATAACGCTGTAAATTGCTTTAACCTTTACAGGATGGAAAATCCCTTTAGTGCCACTATAGTGGCGCTAAAATAGTGTCATATTTTGAAAAGCAAGGGGTATAATAAATTATAATAAATCTTACCCAGGAAAAGTTGTAAGAATTTAGAAAATAGATGCTCGTCCTTTAAAGATTAATTGATCAATACGTGATTTGTGCACTAATTTTTGCGTTATACTGACGTTCTTTATTTTTTTTCTCAATTTGATCATCCTTGACATTTTTAAATTATATGCGTAACAAGGGACATTTGGATTCTCGTGACCTACTAAAGTTTTTTGTGTATTGTTTGTTAATTTTAGAAGATTAAAATTTTCAACTATATATATATATATATGAGGTCTATTTTTGTTCTTACATTAAACTCTTACACTAAAAATTTCTTTCTCGCTTTCTCATCAAATATCAAATATATACCTATTTAACTTTAAGTTTCAAAAGTTCAGCTACAGAAAACAGACATAAAAATTATAATACTTTAATTACTTAGCACAAATATGGTATTATAATTAGCTTACATGAATAAAACAAACTGTATGAACAAAAAGATTGCGCGAAATATGAAATTATTTAAAATAATTATATACTATTTAAAAATTAGGAAAATGTCCCAGCATCATCATACGGTCCACTTACTAATTAAATCGAGCTACACTTGTCACCTTTGATTGAAAGGTCTGCTCTCGCCTCTTGACTTGCTTCTTTAATTAGCTTCATGTAAATGCTCCCGTAATACAATGCTCGTTATTATCAACCAATAGTGGGCGTTATCGCGGGACGCTCGTAAACCAATTACCATTATCTCGTGGAAGGTGAACGCGTGCAACTCGCCACATCATTGGGCTCTAAGCCTTAGATTATCCCGATTTGCTGTATTGAGTTTGAACTTTTTCAGTTGTCCCGTGTAAACGTGCCTTGTCGGGCAGATCACGTGTACGCGAAAAAGCGTAATTGACGGACGTCAAGTGCAAAAAAAAAACGACATGGCTTAATATAATATCGGCCGCGAACGCATACGTTCTTGAGACGTGACGATTAGACCTGGAACTTTATATACGGCGCGACCTCCGAGGCCGCGCAGCGACGTTCTCAAGATCGGCGTTGCGATTGGAGATGCCGTAATTTCTACAAGTTTTTCAAAAGTTTTTTTCGAGTCCTACGGAGTATTAAAAAACCAATTTATGTATCTGTGTATATTTGACGTAAGGCACGGAAAAAATGATACACTAATAGCTGACAGCAATTAAAAATAATGCTGTAATTTGTGCGAGTTTTTCAAAAGTTTTTTTCGTTTTCTGCGGAGTATTTAAAAAAAAAAACCAATGTTTGTATCTGTGATACAAACATTGGTTTTGACGTAAAGTATATAGAAAAAAATGCTATATTAACAGCAGTCTAATTAAAAATAATCTTGTTAATTTAATTCTGACATCAAAATCTGTAACACAGTTATTGACGTTGGATTTGTGGACTCATTTAATT